GGTCCTCAACCAAAGCCTTTGGCTCAAAAGCCTAACCGCAAGGCAGCGGTGTTTGGCGGGAAATGCAAATGCATTACCATTTCTACGGAACAAGTCACCACATCTTCCAACCCCCAACCTGGAGGGCCAGGAGACTGTGTTCGTCAGACCTCTAACCATTGATCAACCTGATATGAGACTCTGTGAGTGTGGCGGGACACCAGTATATATAGCTCAATGGATCGCTGAGGTACGCAAACCGTCACACCACGGTAAGGTCCAGTCTCTTCGTGACGGTGCTGAAGGAGCGGATACCAGGTAAGGTCCAGTCTCTTCGTGACGGTGCTGAAGGAGGGATCGGATACCAGGTTATGGTTGATGGGAAACGCTTTTGTGGATAGCGGCGTCTCGCTTGTGAAAATCATTGTTCTGCAGGTTCATCAGTAGAAAATAACCAACGACAGAGGTTTTTAGGATTCGCAATACTACTCGAGATCGATCCAGAGAGATGAGTGTAGTTACTCGCTGTACGAGAGGAAGAAACAAAGAATATTCCTCGGGCGTCAAAGTATATGGATATTAATAACTACGTTCCCTCCATCGTCTCACTACCCATCTGAAAAAACCTACAGATTTTACCAAAGTCTGCGCATTTGAATCGTGAACAGTCGGTTTATTTTTGGGACAGATGCTGGAAGATGCCCATACGTATTTACACAAACATACAGTCCACTAAAACATCACATGGGCAGTGGATCGGTAGGAAAGGAATTCAGGAAGTGTTGATTAATGGAGAAAAGAAGACGATGAATTTGACAGATCAATCGAAAGGACAAGATTACAACCGCTTGTCAAGACTATGAGGATCAAATAACGATGATTCATTCTGGAACGCTCCCAGTTTTAAGGGGAAATCAGTCGGCTTGGACAAGTGAATCACAACAAAGCCAGACAGTAAAGGTGGAGCGGAAGAGAGGAAGGCAAAGTAAGATATGAATGTCTGAGGAATCAGTGCGAACATGCAAAGGGAACGGATTTGTATTCACTCAGTAAGATACTAGCAGAATAGGATTCGAACGATTGGCACAAAGACAACAAAACAAGAGGATGCGCTGTATCGACAATAGGCCAAAATAGAAACTTAAAATGCATCACCTATTTCACGCAGATGACGAATGCTGTAGTCGTAAGGCAATTGTATTCCTAGATTGGATAGTCGGTTCAATGAGTGGAGTGCATCATCGAAACCTGTAAGAAGAAAGAGAAAGGATGTTCGGGGCATCACTCTGCTGTCGGTCTGAACACTTGAAATTCGGAACGTCAAAAGGCACCTTGCGAGTTCAAACTGAAGAAAACCGTATACCAAAGAACACATTTCACTAAGGAATCCTAAAAGTGAAGAGACAATGGTAACAAGCTACGTAAAGTGAACGCCTCTAGCTGCAGCAAAGTTCGTAAAGTATCTCCAAAAATCTAAAAAAAAATCTTCACACCAAGTTGTAAACTTGTGCGAACCACACCCAGGATATTCTCTAATAGCAAGAGGACCGTTGAGGGTTATTTTTGTTGGGCGAGTGGCGTGTGATCAGCGATTCACAGGAAAATGAAAGTTCGGAGGAAGCAGAGATACGCATTATCGGACGGGCTAATACAGAAATATATGGAGTGATGCTAAATGAGTGATCAAAAAAATCTTGCCCGTGGGAAGCCAAGGACGTGTACCATCGAATCCACCCGGATAGTCTACTGCTTAGTCTCATTTGATTTGTTTCCAAGACTGACCACCATTCGTGGCAAATAGCATTCCCCGGTTCATGGAATCTATAAGTTTCTGTGACTGGTCGAGGTTGCACGTTGCCGTTTGGCTGCCACATTTGAACGCAAATGAGTGTACGGTACAAACCAGACCGTTTGTATTACGACACCCATCCATCAAACACTTAACTCAGGAGTCAAAATTGTTTTTGCAAACCAGCTAAAAGTGTAAATGAGTGACTACGCCGCACGAGGACACAGTTCGGCCTCAGGGTAGATCCCAATTTGAATGTTCATCTTGGAAGCCGGTGAATTTTTGTAAAGCATGCAAAACATAGACAATTGTCAGTGGGAAATTACCGACTAAACAGACTAAGAACTAAAGTGAGACCCGACTACACGTGGATGTGGAGCGTATCTGACAAATATGTTTTACTCCCCCCAAAACCCGGACACATGTATTCAAATAAAGATCAACCTGACTAAAAGTTTCTTCTGTGCAAATGCAATTAGGGAAGCCAGATTCTTCTGTCTGTCCCCATGGAAGTGCTGTGAGTAACGGTCAGAAAGTCTATGGTTGATGGTTCGTAATCCACAACAATGAGACGGCACTGAATGCAAGTGATTCACGAATGCGAACAGCAGAGAAACACGGAAAAACCATTTGTGTATGAATGATGAAGTGCTACAACAAGAAGCTACAGGGTAGCTATCAAAAATAATTCAAGGAAAGCATTAAACACGCATGATCGTCCATTAAAAGAGCGTGACTCAGCCACGCAAAGCTATTTAGTGTATGGCTCGTGTAACACACAGCAGGCTATGTGGGAGAAAATATGGAACACCTAGGTGTTCACTCAGTAATGAAAATCTAAAAACGCGGCACCAGATGACATACATACAAGTGTTATACATGAGGACCTGAAGCTCGATATCCATAAACAGTGACACCGTAAACGTATCCGAGGCAGTGCCTTGTTTTGGACCGATCCTACCGAACGAAGACAGACAAAAGCCTCCAACGGTTTGACGACAGGTGTTTTGGAGAATTGCCCTCGTCCATTGGGAGCATCGGATCAGTAAATCGAGGTATGTGGGCCGGTAGTTTGTAGACAGCTGACCACAGTGGAGAGGGTAGTCACGTTCAACAGACTAGTCTAACAAGTCCTTCCGCTATGCTAAAGCCTGCGTGGGAATAGTAGGAACGTGAAGCTGAATGGGGACGCACGGATGAAGCACACACACACACACACCGTCATGTGTCCGCTGGCGTTCCTGAACCTAATTGGTCGCCTTCAGTGCGCCAGTAGCTCGAAATCGGGCTAACACGTTCGCACGTACAAACGTGAAACTGCGGATACGTCAAGCATGCGCTGGTGAACTAGTGGTACCGCGCTCTCCAAGCGTGCCATATGTCCGGAATTCAAACCCCAGCACGGACAAGGATATACAGTGCTGAAGAGCTCCAATGAGAGCAAAACTCGAGACCAGTGCTTCCCCCAGTTGGTCTGGACTTACCATGACAGTTACGCCAGGACAGGAAGACAGCTGTTCAAACGAGAGTACTGCGGACGTGAACTTCACAAGACCCGTGATAAATCTTCGCAATCTGGACCTTACGCTTCCACTCGTACGGTACTGCGGTTATCTTCTATTCCACACTCTTTCCAGCATTTGTGGGAGGTTTGCGGAGTGAAACCATGAATTCGGCAGGCCAATAGGCTACAAAATCCAAGCAACTTTTCCACTCTCCTATTCTGACACAAAGTGACTTTAACAGGAAAGGTGAAAAATTGCTTTTCTAGCGCGATTAATAAGAGGACTGAAAATCCGTACCAATTCATGATGCCTGCATTAGAGTTTTTTAACCCAACATAAACGCCATGTCGAATGAATAATCAAACAAAATATTCTCTTCCTATTCTCCTCTGTACCAAGAGAAACTTGTAACGAGTGAAGGCACAAACAAGCAGACATAAGAATTGATCATTTATTCACAACCAACAGTGACTGAAGTTATGTAGCTGAATCACTCGTGACAATTATGGCGTTTAGCGACAAAATCCGAATAATTCAGTCCTGCAAACAAATGGTGGAATCGAGGATGATAAAAATAAAGAGATGAGAACAGGCGTCGGGTGGGTTCACGTACCAAGAGCTTAGTAGGCAGAAATCCGAGGTGATTTTGTATGGGCTGTATCGAATTCAATCATGATACTTCTCCCTCGCACACACATACAATTATCGTGTTCTGGGGGAATAACTTTCGGTTGAATACTGAAAAGTTCGATCAACTGCTGGAACCCTCCAAGCCGACATCGATCGATCCGTTAAGGTGATTTTATCTATTGGCCAAGCCGATGCATTCTCTCAGGATTCATGGATTCTCAACGTCAACAACCCGAGAATGCTGTTGTTGCCAGAATAAGGTTGGGACCCGAAGTTAACACAGTGTTTGCTACCACAATCCGTTCAATTCCAGTCACTTTTGCCATGGTTCGCGACGCCACTGCTCGTGATCCGTTATTTCAAGAGGTACCCCATTCTCATCACACACACACACTGGTCTGCAGTATGTTCCGATAAAGAACTTCAAACGTTCTACCAACGTCGATCCTCACTTTCCGAGGTTGATGGTTGCTTACTCTACGCAGAACGGGTAATCGTGCCCCGGAATTACACAGCGATGTCCTTAAACAACTTCATTTTAGACATCCCGGTATCTTAACCGCATAAAGGCGTAACACGTAGTTATGTTTGCTGATCGAGCATGGATAAGCAATTAGAAGAACTTGTACGCAAGTGCTCAAAATGCCAACTATCTGCAAAATCCACCCTGGAAAACATAATCATGTTCATGGCCTGTCCCAGAAACTCCATGGTCACGACTTCATGTTGATTTTGCGGAACCAATCAACGGTCAACAATATCTCATCGTAGTACATGCTTATACCATATGGCCAGAAGTGTTTAACATGAACCATATTACTGCCTGTGCTACTATTTCAGAGCTACAACATGTGTTTAGACACTTTGGAGTTCCAAATATCATTGTCTCTGACGACACCAGCGCATTCACATCCACTGAATTTTCCGCTTCCTGTCAAGAAAATAGCATACAACATGTGCTATCGCCACCGTTCCATCCACAGTCAAGTGGTCAAGTGGAAAGATTTGTGGGCACTTCCAAACCTGCACTCCTACAACTCAGAGGGGAGGGGACCACATCGAAAATTATCGAGACAGTTCTGCCGAGTTACAGGGCAACACCAAATGGTAAGTCCCCGGCGGAAGTAGTTATGAACCGCAAGATCCATTTGCCCGTTTACGTCATCCGTCCAACACCACATCTGCTAACCGGTAGAAACACAGACGTGGAAGTTCAGTTCAACCAAAATCACGGTGCTGTAAGTGACACATTTATACCCCGCCAATATGTGCTAGCGAAAGACTATCGTGATGGTGCGGGAAAGTGGACAGAAGGCTTAACTGTGTGCCGTGCTGAAAAAGTTGCCTCTGAGGTAAATGTAGGCTTCTCTATCTGGGTCCGTCATGCCAATCAGCTACGCGCTTCCTGTCTTCCAGCGACAGCTACATTCGATGCTGTTCTTTCAATGGAGATTCGTTTCGACACATTTGAGTTGGCTCAAAAGCAAGAATCTCCAGAGCCGATGAATGAATCAGCAATTTCCAAAAGTTGCACACCTAGAAGATGGACCGATCGAATACGGAGGTACGTCATACCAATGCAACTCAACCCTCAGTGGCAGTCCTACGATCGAGCACTTCAAAGGGGAGCAGTCAGGAGGACTACTTTCAAACGAACAAATCCAGTTTGCTAACAATTTGTTTTGCATACTGAAACCTTGTTTTTACAATTGGGCCTCTCACGGACATCTTATTGGACTGTTAGCTTTCTTTAGATTCTGATTCAGTTGGATTCCACATCACGGAATGTGATCTACTTGTTCGCAGTATGACTTCCTCGAAGTTGTTTGCCTTCTCCATTTCGGTGAACCGACAAGTTTGACTGATACATTATCAAAGAGGACATAACAGGAGGCCAGTTGGTTATGTACAGATGTGAGGGCGGAGTAAGTCCCTGAGTTCGGTGTGGAAGTACCAAGTACCAAGACCAAAAATAAAAAAACAGTTCAATGTTTAGGCCTGCCTCCGTAAAGCACGGGAAGAACCAGTCACTCCGATCCATCGCAATGACTCATTGTTTGGAAAATAACGAGGAGTAATGTATAACGGTATCGAATGCGGTTACTCGTTGAAACCAGGGCACGCCGACACTTCAGCCTAAGAACTTCATCCAGAAGGACAGAAGCTCATCTTTGAGTTTCACGCCCAAACGGTGTTGTTTTATGAAACAGACGGAAATTTAAAGGAGTTCGGATTGTGAATGAGTTTCTCATTCTAATACGAACAGAAAATCAGGTGAGGATTCTTAGTATCAGACAGTATGATGTTCAACTTACCAGTGGAGAGCGTATAGCTCCAAGGTTGATAAATGGTACTGACCAAGGATTGGTTCTTCAGCACCATACGAAGCCATTGAACCAACCGACCTTCACTGAGAATAGGAGAAAAACAAAAAACCGGCTCGAGATAGTCAAACTGAATCGTTTAGTCATTCAACCGTTTCGCCTAGTTGCATAGCGTGGTGGTGCAGAGCGACTGGATATTCTGAGTGAACAGGAGCTTGAGGGAAACAACTTCAAAAAAGTCGTATACGCAGTCATGAACTTCACCTACAAAGGCGTTTTGATTGCACGAAAAGGACTAGAAGAATGTGTTTACGGAAGCTAAGTAGAAGAGAGGCATATGTTGTCAGAAAAGGCCCGGTTTTAGCGAGGAAAAACTATGTCAGTGCCCGAAAAGACTGCATATAAACCTAGTAGGGTCGAGACAGTAGAAAAAAGCTCGATTCTAGATGACACCAGGAATGGATCGAGTATCAATTGTCCCGTTCTAGTATGCTATCACTGATACCTAAAGAGTGAAACACAGGTTGTGTAGATGTTGAAACTCTCCAGCTCAAATGATAGGTTGCAGAACCTGAGGTTCATTTTGTCCAGAGCAACCTGGTCTGCAGTCTCATCGGAAGTCCAGAAAGTATGTTTGGTTTGGCCTTGTCATCATCATCATTGTCAGCTGTAATAACCGCGTACTCGTCGTACAGTGGTTGTAGCTGCCGCAGTTTCGTTCACCGATGATTTGGGTAGCTGCGTATTGCAGGCGGGGGATGATAAATTGGAGCATAATTCCAGCATTGTCAGCAGCCAAAATCAACAGCCAAAACTGGCTAAAAATGTGAACCTAGCGGTCGTGAACTTATGTCATAATTCCACACGTTACTTAAGCCTATCATGAGTGCCCAGAAGTTGAAAAGCGTTGTTGGGTTAACCCAACATCCTTAAACAACATTCGCCAATGGCTCCAATATTTCGAACACACTCGATCAATAGAAGCTAGGATTCAGTTGTGTAGAACAGCGTAGAGCAAAGATCAGCCCAGTAGAATATTAATTTCTTTTCTATACCATAATACATTCTTCTAGCATTGATGTTAGGACTTTTCACTTCAAGGCGCAGCAAAACTGACATCACTTTCAAGGGCAAGTTCCACAAGTAAATCGCAAAATTTGAGACTACCGGGAAATCAAACGTAGGATACTGTTCCAATGGAAGTTCTATGTCACCAAGAAGACATTTGTGTGATATCGATGACAGACACTGGCCGGAATGGTAAGTAAGTGAAGGCACCATTATTCCAACACGGCCGATCATTTTTTGTTACCTGTACAAAATAGGCCTCAAGTTGGTTAGCTCAGTCACAGTGAGCGACCGTTAGATACCTAATCTACCGGTCATAATGACGGATCAAGCGTCTATGGGTTCAGATAATTCAACGCAATACGAGCACAATGTTAGAGTTGAATGGATGTCAGGTGAGTGAGTGGAACCACAGGCCAATATAATTTACTGAAACCAGAATAGTACCCACGAATGCTCATACCCGCGTGAAATGCCATTTTTCATGTCACCAATGGCACTGGGCTCATTAAGGTCAACTATTCAATGTTAATTAACGAGCGCCGTTGTTTGCTGTATCGTTACTGAGACACAGATAAGTGCGATTTCCAGGAAACTTATTAAATCCGAGCATCCAAAACTGGGTGTCACTAGGTTGTGAGAACGAGTAATCAGGTGTCTGGATATTCCAGGTCTTTGGATGGGCTGAATATGTCACACTACTCATTCGAGAACCAATCAATAGGGCAGTAGCACAGCAAAGTCGATTTGCACAAAACTTCCGACCACTGACTAACACTCCTAGTTGAACCTCACATAAAAGAATAGATTAAGATCGGGAAGGAAATTAGTGTAGATGTGCACAGAGAATTGTTTAAGGCACTTACTTTAGTGCTATACTGATAAAAGACTTGAATCGGGAATCATCACTACGGTGATATGCACCATGTGTTTCCAGAACGGTGCCCATCGCGTTGAAAAAACGCTGTGAGGAGAGAAAAGTGTAATGTAAGAGGTGTGATAAGCACCTGGTTCTGACTATTGACAATCGAGATATCAACCGAACAGAAAATCACAAAGCGCTCCTCAAATATGGAACCCCCAAGTCCCTCGTTTCAAATCGGAACCAAACTTTGCTCACTTCCACTACACGAGGGCTTGTTTTTGGAACTCCTCAGTAGGGCATATTGTCACAGTAACCGGGGCTTGAATAATTTCATGTCGTGACAAATAAATTGAGCAAGACGATTCACGTATCCCATGACCTACTAAACTATAACAAGTGTTCTACTATAACAATCACCAACATATTGATCAGTGAATCTACGGATAAACGTCCTGTGAAAAGTCCCCTGCTACTTGAGATCAAGGTGCATGCCATGCATACAGGTTAAAAGTTCGTGGACATCCACTCACTGCCTCGTGATCACGACTCCGAGGTAGTCCTATTCGTCGTCACTACTAGTTTGAACACCCAAGCAACACAAACTAAACGGAACAGGTGTAATGTGTTCAAATTTTTCAGGAGGCAACCGCACTCAAAGGCGCCGGTTTTGAATAGCGCTTCAATCTCTGGTGAAGATCAAGGAAATGCCTCAAAGCTAAGCACAAGCCAGTGATGTGAAACCTAAGGTGTGAAAGAACCAGAAGAAGTGACTACTAGAATAAGGGCTTCAACCGTTCAGCCTACCCTCAAGAGGTATTTTGCTTTAAGCTGTGTCATCTAGTATGTATTAACATCGAAGAGTCTGGAAGTTGTTTTCTATAGAGGAGAATGTCGGTAGCTCAGGTAGCGTAGATGGTCGTTGGCTTGTTCGCTGAGCTGGGCAATTTGGTTGCAAACGTTTCATCACCAATCGAGGTGACATCATCAGTGCGTAGTTGTGCGTAGCGGTGGGTTAGTGGTTGTGCGTTCAGTAGTGTTACGTGTGTGTTGATATACGTGCTGGTAGCCGGGGATGACCTTTGACCGCGATTAGTTATTCTGTCGGGCGGTTCCATTGGTTGTTCTTTTTATCCCGTGTCCTCATTCGCCGATGCCCACGTGACTTTTGAACTTGGCATCCCTCGCCGTCGTAGTCTAGTCGATGTTGGAGTGACCTTTGTCCTTCCGAGTTCCGGTTGTGACCTCATTGATTTGACTCCGAGGAGTTCCTTGTTTCTTCGTTTGTGAATCCATTATTCGGTCCTCCTTGAGTGTTTCGGTTGCGATGTTGATCTCTCGCGCGTAGAGGTGCGTAAATTGGATCCAGTTCGATGCACCGGTTTATTGAACCTGTCGTAGAGTACCATGCTTCCAGAAATTCTCTTCCGTGTCGCGTGTCTCCGTATGCCAAAATTTTCGCGTTTTCCATGTTGAATTTGTGGCCTTCCTGGTCCTCGTGTATGGATATCAAGGACAGGGGGTCATGCCTCCTGACAGCCGCGTTGTGTTCCTTTATTCGTGTACATAATTTTCTCCCAGTTTGTCCAACGTAGAATTTGTTGCAGTCGTTGCAGTCGATTTGGTATATCACATTGTTCCTCTTGGTTTTGTCCCGGTTGTCCTTCGGTCTAGAGATTAATTTCCTTAGAGTAGCACTCGGTTTGTGGGCCACGAAGATTCCTTTTTGCGCCAATAATCTGGTTGCGAGTTCTGATATATTCTTGATGTAAGGTAGGACTACCCGTCTGGTGGCTTGTTCTTGCTGTGGCTGTTGTTGAGATGTCTTCTTCTTCTTCAAGCTTCTCTTGATAAAACTCCTTGGATATCCATTCTTCTGGAACATTCTGTATAGATGGTTTTCCTCCTTCTTCCGTAGTTCTGTGGTGCTGCAGTGTGTCTCCGCCCTCTTGAACAAGGTTTGGACGCAGCTCTTTTTGTGGTTTACTGGATGATTGCTGTTGTAGTTCAGTATTTGGTCCGTATGAGTCTCTTTGCGGTGTACGCAGGTTTCCAGAGTCCCGTCCACCTTTCTGTTCACTAAGACGTCCAAGAATGGTAGCCGATTGTTTCTTTCCAGTTCGATTGTAAACTTGATATCTTCAAACGTTGTGTTGAGCAGTTCATGTGCGTCGTGTACTGAGTCCCGTTTCATGATGACGAAGGTGTCGTCCACGTAGCGGATCCACAGCTTTGGATTGATGATCGGCAGTACTGCACGCTCTAGTCTTTGCATTACCGCCTCAGCAATGAATCCTGATATTGGGGATCCCATTGGAGTTCCTTTCAGCTGTTGATGTGTTTGTCCATCGAAGGTAAAGTATGTATCCATGCAAATGTATCCATGAAAATTCTTGTTTTTTAAGACAAAAGATAAACTCATCAAAGCACTGCACAACAGAAGGTGGCATTTATTGGAGGTCGCTAACCAAGTCATGTAGGCGGTTGACTAGCCAAGAGTTATAAACATATCTTACACGGCATTTGTTACCGGATGCTACATAGGAAGTATATCAGAATCGGATTTATTAAACCATTTGTCAGCAGTACTGCTCACTTCTAACCTAGACACTATTGATATCTATCCATCCCACTACTAGATGCTGGGTTGTCGTGCATACTGTGCCGTCAATGCATTGGGGAGCAAAGGCCGTAATACATAGAAGGGGCTAACAGGGAGTCGATGGTGGGTAAAACAAAGGTTGGAGAAATCCGAGACAATACTCTTCAATTCATAGTGAATGTACACTTGAAACAGTACAAAATAATTTCAAGTTCCAAGTACCTGTCGAAGTGTGATAGCTTTTCCACCGTACGAGTCCAAATCGAAACTTTCTGATAGTTTCCGCGCTGGAGACTCATTGTAAACCTGTCCGTTCTGAGTAAACAAACGAAAAATGACCAAACTGTGTTAGATTCAGCGACCCGAAAAAAATTTAATCAAGGTGAGTTAAAAAGAAAATCTAATGGTTACTTAGGGAACTGCACTTCTGCTATTGATCAACCGCCAACTAACCAACAACCAGTTGATACACCAGAGTTATTAATATTCCAACATACTACTGAAATGTGATTCGGCCACAAACCGGACAAAATGGTATAAAAAGATAGCCACTTCAGTAGTATTCACTACAACGTATACTAAACTTGGCGAGATGGGCCAAGTGGTTAGAGCGAGAATTTACTGACCTGAAGGTCCGTGGTTCGAACCCGAACTCTGCCTCTCGACTTCCCCTGTCTAGGCTTGGGCGACCTGGCAGTATCCAGGCCCTCGTGACTCTTTCGTGTGCCACGGCAGCTAGGCACCGAAAGGGTGCTACAGCTGAACGATTTTACGACAGTGAATCATTGGTGTTGAACACTGATGTCTGCTGTCGATAATGATGGTACTAAACGCACCGCATCCCGATACTAACCAGGAATAATCGACCAGAACTTCTACTCAGGGTGGTGCACAATGTTCATGAAAATGTCTGTTCGACCTAAACTATGGAGACGAACTAAATGGGGAAATATGTTTAGACCCACGCTCGGAGGGGCCGGTATATGGATCGAAACTCCAATTATGAATATAAACGTGTGTCTAAAAGGGCGATAATCGAAAGAGATTCCAGAGAGGAGATGACTAAACAACTTGGTGCAACTGATAATCTATGTGGAGATGAAAAAATGCGACCTAACCGGAAGTAAATATAAACACTTATTCTGAACAGTCATCGAGCATTGGTTGAACTACACCGCTTGCTAGCAGAGAGATCGCACCGAGATTCGACCCAGCCTTACGATGCGGATTAAACAGTTTCTCACGACTAAGATATCGTCAACGGTTAAAGAAACGTATTTGTCTCCATTTGCTTTACACTGACAAGCTAGTGCAGTGCCGGTGATGATGGTAACAATAATGCGTTATACTGCATAACTAAGGTAATCATGTTTGTACGTGGGCTGTTGTGGTCACGGGAGAGGGTATGGAGAGCTTTCCAGAAGCTTTACTACAAGCAATGGTCCAGCAAGGTGTCTACCTTCTCCATTTTTGTTTACTTTCGTCATTGATGAGATAATGAGGCGACCGATGGAAGTTCTCCAAAAAAAACGTGTTCAGATGTCTCTGAGCGAGAGGTTTGTCGATTTGTAGTATGTAGACGAAACTGTTTTCATTTTTTGAAAAAGAGAAGGAAGTGCAAGGGCCGCGTCGTCTACCTACCCAATATCTGTGAGCGAACGAACCAGTAACACTTCGACCCCACAAGCATTAGAGACTGGCAGTGAGTCTTCTATAACCTCTGCCACTCGACTTCGCTTGCCTAGGCTTGGGCAACCTGGTATTTTCCCGGCCCTCGGCCACCTTCTGCAGCTAGGCACCGAAAGGGTGCTACAGCAGAACGTAGAATTTGACGCGTCCGTGGCGTGCAGCGCTTTCAGGAAGGTCAATAATTTGTGGGGACGCCCGTATTTCCAGTGGCAATTACAACAGCAGAACAGACGGCTATCTCTTCTGGAGAATCGCAAAACATCCCAAAAAATCTGATGCGCTTCGTGAGACAATAGTTAGCCCACAACCTGAAACATAACATCGTCGACTGCAAGATATCTATTTACTGGTTGCGGCTTATTCCGTTGACCCCAGAAAATCATCAGCCGTTCTGAGGAGCAACTGAAAACTCCAGATGCTAATATTTGACAAGGTGGTGATGAGTAAACTGGAACAGCCGGGTCTATGTGCACAGAAGTTATTGACTTAGAACATCCGTCGATCTGAATACTAATCTCCGATCACCCTCTATCTCTCTGAATGCTTTCACGTATTTTTCCTCAAACAGTAAGCCCATAAATGTATCGTACATGGACAGCTGAAGAGTAAAAGAAATGTTTACATCTCCACACTTATGTCCTATCATAGTTTTGAGGAAATAAGTAAGGGGGACTCAATGTCCAGATCTCTCACGGCGACGTCAGTTGACACAACTAAAGGATCTTTCATAAAGGAAACTACTCACAAGGTTGCTGAAAACTCTTCGAAACCGATCATGAGCTGCGATATCTCGAATATCGTGCCGACTGAATCATGAGGCGGCCTGTGTGCAGTACATTCAGCTGGAGGACATCATAAACGAGAGATTCGATTGAGTCTCGCGTGAAAACCAAATTGATTTGCAAATGAGTGTATTTCTCGTAAAGGATCTTTCCGTTATATTACCCTAATGGGCCGCCCTACGAAGGCTCTAAAGGCTAAGGTAAGAAAAATAGTACATGAAACAGTTAAATTGGAGAAGCCAAATAATGGAAATATTTTCGGAAGCAATGTGTAGTAATGAGTTTCCTTATATAGTAGACCATACAGAAGCAAGAACGCAAACTTTCATCTTTATTACAAACTCCTGAAAGGCTCACTAGTAAACTACCTTACAACGCCTACAACCATGCCTGCCATACTATACTCGGTAAGCGGTGACTACGAACAACACACGTGACCAAATGCCGTGCTACTCGAGGGGTGTGACGGCCCATCCCCAGAAGTTTCCCAGCTGACATACAAATGCAATTCGGGAAGCGACGCTCCACTTTCAGTAGAAAGGTAACAAAAGAGAAGTGAAATTTGGATTCCTATTCACAGAGACCCTTTCACTGAACCCCCCCCCCCCTGAAACCCAATCGAATAAAGTGCACTACAAATCCTACAATATAAAAATTGTTAAGATAAGGCAGTTATAAGGGGGGGGGGGGGGGGGGTAGAAACGGATGCCAACAAGGACCTGCATTGTTCCAGCATACTATTCCACACAACGCGTCACTCACCACAACTTCATTACCGTAAGCTAGTAAATTTGAAACTCATCAGAAATGATGTATATATGGTGTACCGGTGTATATAGTGCATTGCTGGTGATTCACTTCGAGACGAGACAAAGTGACACTTTCTTTAGTGTTGGTTGAAAGGATGCGTAATCTCTTGTAAAAAATCTCCCCTTTCCAACTAGTTCGGCGGAGCAAAATTACGATAAGGAAAAACAATTAATGTTGGATCATGTCCAACCAGTAAATTTTGAAATAGCAAATGGAGCAAAATCTCATCACCCGGAATGACAGGACAAGCAAAATACTGAAGGGTTTCTCCAAAACTTCCAACCCAAACCGTGTGGAAATTTTTGTAAGCAACTTCTAATTCAAACTGACAACCGTCTGGCTGCAGGACTCAGTTGTTCGCAGCCTCAACAGAACTTAATTATTGGTTGCTGATCGGGTGGCTGTTGATCTGTTCGCCAAGTTTGGCAATTGGCTTGCAAACGTTTCGTCACCATATGAGAAGACATCATCAGTGCGCAGTTGGGTAGGTTGTTTCTGTCATCCGATCCTTCTCCGAAAAATAGTTGTGAAGTTTGCGAGCTATTGCAAGAGGCCTACCCATCGACTGCCCCCCCCCCTAGTGTGAACCCACCAACTGAATAGTAAGTCAATGTTCCATCAAATATTGTATGATCGCACCGATACAAAGTCGAGCAACTCCAGCGTCAAAGTGCAATCTCGTCACACACGTTGGATCAGATACCCCACATGTCATGTGGCAAAGTTGATCGTATTCAGTCAATTTGTACTGGTGCATTAGTTCGCCTCACTCATATGGAATGCCAGAACCACGCAACGAACGCGAGAATCTTAGTTTAACAGTGGACAGTTCGGTTGACCAGCATATTTTCTGTTGTTCTGTCATTGACGGTGGACGCTGGGTATGTTCAGGCTTTTATGCCTACGAATGTACTTCGTCAGGCTATTCCAAATGTCAAATTGACATCGTTATATGTGGTATTACGATCACGACCTTCTATCAACAGACAGGGAGGATTTTCCACTGGAAGCTTCTCGTCCCAGAGCCCGGTGCATCCATCACTAGTCCAGAGGTTATTATAGACATTGATATTTCCATCCCTTTGTCGCACCGACCAGGCAGATTATTAAATTATTTGATTCTGACCTGTTCCGAACAGGTCGGTGGCACGAAAGTCCCTCAGATAGAATTGGGAGTTGACGAAGCATGTTTCAGTTGACAATTGCGTTTCATTTTACGAACTACATGAGAGAGCGAAGAAGTATCAGTGGTAGTATCAGTTCTTCGAAATGGATTACCTCCATTGTTAATCCATTGAAAGCTGATGGTGAAATCCTTAGAACCCGAGTTGACTACATGATCAGGGTAAACAACGAGCAAGGACATCAAGTATGTGCCATCAAAGAGCCCGAGGATATCATTGCGTGATTAACTACTGCAAAATTATCCTCCCCCATCGATGTGAAAAATGTATACCTACAAGTATCCCTGAATGACAACTCACGCGAGCTAGCCGATACTAGCATTCCTTCTGATTTATTTGTGTACAGATTCATTCTTTCGGCCTGAGTGTCTTACTAGGCATTTTTCGGTCAGTCATTAAATTTACTACCGAAGAGCTGAGATTATTTGAGATTATCAAAGAAACATTTTCAATCGTGCTAAAATTAGGGCACGTCATGATGAGATCTTGAATTTTACTGACTTTTTTGTGAACATAAAATTAGTATCAATCCAAAAAAGTGTAACTTCGGAAACATAACCCCGAAAAGTCATGGATACATCGATGATAGGGACAGTAGTGGACCAAGTCCATTCTATCTTACTCGCGTGCATTAGGTTAAAGCCCCGAAAAGCACACTGGAGATAAGAGAGTAAATAGGTTTCCTGAGGCAATACTAATGTTTTGCTTCAATCTTCGCAAAGGCGTTCGACATTCCAATTGGAACAAGCTTTGTAATCAGGGCTACCCAGCAAACGAACGCTGGATATGGGAAACCTGACTTTGCACACTTAGACGCTTTCAGTACACCTAACGTCTTATCAGAAATACTGAACAGCTGATTATCTACACTGCAAAAGTATCATCCACAGGTCCGTCACAACCAGCGAAAATATGCCTCACGCGACGATGCGCTTCACAGCTTGAAATGTCATTATGAGAAACGGAAGACCTACGCTAATCAACCACAAACACCCAACATATTGAACGTATCTCTATGGGCACTCCTCATCTCTTTTACGCAGCTTCGCCTGATCGCCATATTCAGAAACCTTATTCCAAGGTGGGTCGCAGCAACAGCTCTACTGCGACCACATCGGACATGGTGGTGCGCTGTGCAATTGATGTTGCGTCGAAATAAACTACTGCTACCGGAAGGAGTAGTTTAGTTTCTTTTTAAACCCATTGACGATGCGGACTATCAGAAGTGAAAAACAAGCCTGTGGGAATAGTGACGAAAAAGCGACTAACCTTCATGTAATAGAACTTCAAAAACACATGCCAGGCGTGTGGACCAGATCTGTTAATTCGCGAGTGGTTGACGGTTGCTGAGCAAGCGGTCTGATTGATTTCATTGTCCACATCCACACCTACTGACTCAAATCCGTCTTCGGAGGGACCGAGTCGTCGTGAAGCCAGGCAACCGAAAAACGGCCACAGCAGGTTACGTTGAAAAGGCTCCTCGACCACCGTCGAAAGTGATTTCTTCACCAGTCCATGTTCTATCAGATCACGTAAGGCCGGACAAAGTTGCCGACGCACAGTATGAATTACCATCCTGTTGGCTTCAGCATACAGAAACTGTGAAATCAAACAGAAAATGCGGTGACTACAAGCTACAGAGACATCTGCTATCCCTAAGGTCTGAGGATTGTTAAATACTCACAGTGAAACTTCCCAAGAGAATAGCTGAGAAGTTCCAGATCACAGCGTATTCATTATGCTGCTATTAGCCTTCGGCTCAAATAAACTTTGGCAACTAACCATACACCAATTTCCACTGGAATTTATGCTTACCTCTCTTGTATCCGCTGAAGTCAGCTTAACTGTTGTCAATGAGCTGGAAACTGAATTTGTACGCTGATTAGATGAGTTCAAAATAGTTTCACCTGACCCGTTTCGGATAGCATGGGCTTTTGTATCATGCAAATGTGCATTCTCTCCAAGCCGAACAGACTTCGATTCACCACTAGCAAAGGACAGGCGCGACCGAGAAGATCCAACACGCGGTCTACCTTGTAGTCGATCTTGTCTTTTAGAATAAGTGGTCGCTTGATTTATCGCGGTTGACTCGCACGTAGACTGCATAATGCAACTCGATTGATGTGATTCGATGGTGGATTTTTCTTGTTCAAGCGATCGAAGGAGCTCGACCTTTTCCAACACCAAATTAATGGCTACTTCGAGATGAGCACGAGCAATCCCCCAATGCTGTGCCTTCGCACGTTCCACAGAAGCAGAATTCCGTAAATTGTCTGTAAAATAATAACAAAGTAAAAAACAAAACAACCGCAATTAGAGAACAAAGATTTCCTGATGTAGAGAGACGGAGGATAAACAAGAAAACAAAGCAGGAAACTAGGTGTTGTATAAAAGTGGATATATATGGTCAGGTTCCAAATGGTCCGTGGATCGTCACTGACAAGACAGAGATGGTTCAAGGAAAAGATTAGTCCACTGAAAACCAGAGCGGCCTGAGGTATTCGATTACCGGATAGTACGGGGTGTATAAACAGAGATTCTGAAAGACCTTGTCTCTCACACACTTATCTATGGGAGTTATGCAGTCGTTCGGTTTTAGGTCACGAGACAAAAGACTCAGTGTAATAGGCTCAAGAAGAAAAGCCATTTTTGCAACTGCTTCCCGAAGGTTCTGTCCTAGTCAAATTAACTGGTTAGTGATCCCCAAAAGTAAGAACAGTGTGCACAAGGAAACGAGTGATTGAGATGGAACTAACTGCCATGGACCCAAGCAAAGTTTGGGTAGGTAGCCTCATTAGTGGTTATAGTCACCGAGGTGTTTACCAGGGAGGTAACCAAAAATCCAAGTGGCCAAACATTCACTGGATTAGGATTCCAATAACAAAATGTTGCAACCCATGGTCTGCGTCATTATAACTTAGAGTACAGCGAACATAAATTTATCTGCAATTTGTGCTATTTCAAGTGCATCTTGAGTCAACATGAAGCCTTGGCACATTCGTGTCATCTGGTGATTACATTTTATTTGGTTATTGCTATGTTATTGCTACTCTGGTCTATGTAGTTGAATTGTGTTGCTGAACTGATCGGATGGTCTTGAAGTTATAAAGTTATACAATGTCAGGTATTCCTTGCTGCTGAGATACAAACAACTTCGAGCTGAGGACCTCCAACTAACTTCTATTCTGTCTGATTGCACACGAAACAGGGTTTCGAACTTGCAGGCAGTAGTCGCACAAGACATATCTTCCTTTGCCGATAATCTTCAAATATTTTGGGTTGTCTAGAAGCGGTTTCTATCAATTCTACCAGGGTCAATGCCGTCGCTTCTCAATCAGTCTCCTCTTACGTCTCACGCTCTCCCCCAGGAACCCTCAATCAGATGTCCACCTTCAATTATCTGAAGAACCTTCTCCCTTCATTCCTGAGCGCAACTGTTTGATTCTGTTTTCTAACTTTCAAGAGTCTTGTATACTCCTCGCTGACGTCGCGCATCTTACCAATACAACTCGTTCGGTTCATCCTATATTTATAGCAGTAGCCACAAAATGTACATGGGCACTGAACCAACGGTAGGCATACTGAATCGAGCTGAACTGTCACACTGGGAGTTGAAGCACTACCTAGTCGGGGACTTCATATGACGGCTTTATCAAAAGCCTGCTGCTGGTTGTCACGGCAGACAACGTGCAATTCTGATTTACGGTCCTTTGGGTACACTGAGACAGGTAAAACACAGGCTTCTGTAGAAGTCTCTCTGTAAACCTCCAATTCATGCTGCCCAACTAGGTTTTCCCTAATGTTGTCAAGAAAAAAATCTATGATGTGGAACAAAATGTTGCCAACGATATCACCGGGCACAATGACCATAGTCTTTGGCCACCAAAATAATGGCACGACCTGGGCCAGAATGCCCAGAAAAACGCTCAGGAATTGGAGTTGGAACGATCAATTGAAACGTACTGAAACAGACCTGCCATGTGCGGGCTCTGCTTTCCACACGGACACAAGTTTGTAGCAGTAGCGCTATTTGTACGCCTAAATAACTTATACTAAATGACTAATACTGAGGTATGAAATTCCAACAGATCTGTATGCGGACCACTGGTACGATATGTGTGCGATGTTGTTAGTCGCGTAGTTGATCAGCTGTTTTTCCTTCATAAACGAACAACTCTGAAGCTCAGTTATCTGGCACTGCGAGTATCGACAGACGATCCAAAGCACTGGGGTGTTTGTCTATTTCCTAGTTCTTCACTTCGTTGAACTCTAGGAGAACAATCATTCGTCAGTTACCGGGTACTCTTCAACCGCAACATGTCGGATACATCAAACGTAAAAAGGGAAAGTTACTTCTTTCAGGTTCGAATGTTGAACTGCCTCTGTTGCCTCGCACGTCAGTTTGCGTACTTAGTGAATGAACTAAACATTACGGTTGTATAATGTCTGAAAATGGTATCGCCCCGTACAAAATACGCTCATACGGATGGAGATCCCCAAGACCCCACGAAGAATCCACACGAGCCAAGAGAGAATAAAAAATGTCCGAGAAATATAGGATGTAACGTGCAACACTGGAATCCATCAGATACCTACTTAAAAACTCATCCCTACCTGCTGATGTGCGCTTTCCCTCGCGCTTCGGCGTCCACTCACTTACGCTTGATCCAAAGTGGACAGAGGCAAAGATGTGTAGAATTGCAACCGCGCGTTGGAGAAGCGTGATAGTACGGTCACGTGGGCGCTAACAGAAAAACAAAAATGGATTTGAAGAATATTCACTCAAAACAATAACAAGCAATACAGTTAGCAGTAGCATTATCAGCTGGTGTATATGAAGCACACAATCGAAAGTTTTCTGTTCAGCCAGCGCTCGCCGCAGAATCACTGCCTGCCATTCCGTATGAAAGCTAGGGTTTAGTCATTGAATACCACGTGTGCAGCTATTCCAGATAAACATTTTGTTCTTGAATGGGATTTCAAAAGGATTTTGGATCTTTCCACGTAGAACTAGAGAGACTTTGTTTAAAGGAAATTCATTGGTTTTCGTAGAGGGTTTCATCAAGCATGAAAGTGAACTATTATCATTCACTCTTCAAGTGCAGATGCAGGAAATCTGGAAACCATCCACTGAGCTCACGCCAACTGCATTCTACTCACTAACTTGCCATTCACAAGGTGACGCATCTGCTCGACCACCAGAATGCGTCCATTTTCCCGAGGGACACGTCAGCCATAGATCAGAATAGTTGTCACGTCTTGAGACTGATGCCTACGACGATCAATCGATTTCCCAGCGTGCAACAGCCAGTACGAGCACGTATTAACAGTTATTATTCGATCCCTGTTGTAGTATGACAATCACTTACACAAGGGGAATTTCCCCCGTAATGATCACTGAACGTCACCATATCCCTAGATTGCAGTTTGCGGTAGTTGACATCAATACAATAAACAAAATGTTGTATACCCACCTTGTCACGAAACACTGGTGATCCACCCTCTTCACCCATGTGGGCAGCAAACTGAAATGGTTGAGTAAACGATTGGACGAGTTGCGTATCATTTGATGTAAATGGGTTAAAACAGCAAAACCAACACCCATAACCTCAAAAAATGAGCACAATTACTAAATGCAAAATTATGGCGAACGTGGGCCTCTCAAAAAAGAAGTGAGAAAATAAAACAAACAGGATCCAAGCGGAAAATTTAAGAGAAGATGCAACCAACTCGAACAGAAAAAAGGAAGCAGAAGCCCATAGTAAAACTAAACCATCTAACATTAAAGTAAAATAACGTCCAATCGTTAGCTCGAGATGAATCCATGGTCACCATCCGAAATCCTCCCAGGAAGGTAAGTGATTCGAAATCCAGGCTTGGGTAACCTAACGCTATCTCAGATATCGTGCTTCTTTTAATTTGCATGACGGCTACGTAACGAAAGGGCACCAGGGCTTGACAAATACCTACTAGCCTAACTGACTGTTGATCAGTTGACCTGTTGTCCCACCGTGACGAACTTTTATCAACATTCCAGAAAGACATCGCCAGTGCGCAGACTGACTTCCAAGCAGTGTCAAGTCCAGAGAAAAGATCAGCCTCCAACTGATTAACAGCCAGTAAACGCACCCAAGCTATCAATGCTCCAGCTGATTGGCCACCCAATAAATTAATGTGCCATCTTTAGTTTTGATCAGTTCCCAGTGTGCAGACAGTGGATGAAGTTTTATGGATTTCAGGCTTCTGGGAATGTGTGACTAGGAGAAATGTAAACGGACAAACACCAAGGTGGGAATAAAGAGAAGGGAGTCTGGCGCGTTGTGTGCGTCTGTATGTGCTTGCATGAACATCAGCAACTGCAGTGGCCGTTGGTTCAAGTATGCTGTGGGACTGCTCGGTCCACGAGGATATTCATTCAATTAGAGACTAGCTTAAAGGGATAAAATCAGTGTTTCTAGCGATTCACCTGGCTAGTATATGACAGATGCGAAACAAAGCAGAACAACTCCAACGATGTGTGATGACCTCAAGTGTGAGTGAGGTATAACAGGTCTTCAAGTCAGGATAACGTGGTCCCAAAATTCTTCGTCTCAATCGTTTTGGAAATGTGTGCAACTTAGTGGGAGACCTAAACGCAGTTCAGCATCCGTTACACGATGCTGGCAACTAATGGGAAAATAAAAATAAGCTATCGGCAAGTAGAGGACGTTTGTACAGAACGAAAAGCAACTGTGCGAGCTAAGCGCTCACGTAAGTGGCGGCGAAGGAAGAATAAGTCCCAGGAAGGTCAAAGTCAAAACTCCGTATTATTGGTCAGAAAGTGGATTTACCCATACAGGACAAATATGGCGCTCAAAACCACTCAGCTCTACTGGTAAACTCGCAGAAAACAGATTCAAAAAGTCAGATCGATTTACTAAAAGAACCAGTGCCGTAGCAATCGCTAGAGAACGGTATTCAGATGCATCAATGAACAGCGAGAAACAAAACCACAACAAAATTGTGACGCGGTTTACGACACGAAACTATGAACACAACGATACTAGTGATTGTGACAACGAGCAAGCGAGGAACAACAGCTGATATTGTAATGCTACCTCGTTGGAACCACTAGCCACATCCGTATTCAGATGACGTGAATGACCTAGCTGAATCCCGGGGGTTGAATATTGGGTGGAATCGAACCCGGCAAGTTGGTGAGCGCGTTTGAATTCATGTAAGGCCTGCATCAGCGCATCACCACACGTACCAGAGCCTGAAGAAAAATTTATCTCTTGAGTGACAACCAACTGGGAAGGTGCAAGGAAAGTCAACACCAGGCTCCATGTCAGTTGGTAGTCAGAGAACAATAATAAGGTGAGTGGGAACTGAATAAACTGTAAGGGTCGTTACCGTCACCATCAAAAATATACGTGAACGAGAAATAAACTGGTGAGTCACATCTGTAACGAACAGACGAAAGAACCGAATGGGCTGGGTCATGCGAACAAGTAACGTCATATAAAGTCCAACACATTGTCAGCCCAGCTCTGTTAGAAAATTTTCGACTCACAAACACTGTTCAAGGTCTACCGCTAGCCAAAGAGTCTAACTACAACCAAATGTGCCGATGCAGCTGGATAAGCACTGGTAGCCCCAGTGACTTAGGAATGGTTTGAGTGTATAGTGATGCACATCAGCAGGCAAGAAGTGGATAGTGCTCCACATTTCGTTGTTCTTCATTAATTTCGAACAGGTTGTCAACATCCAATCATGCGTCTTTGCAAACCAAAACCACTTCGTTTTATTGAATTATGATTGAAGAAAAGAAATAATATGCCGAGGTGATGCTATTCTATCAGAATCCAATCAAACTAAATGTTTCACACAAAGCTCGATCTTTTTCGACTTTATTCACACCGGATTCGCTGGGGATAGCCTCAAATCAACTATATTTCATTTTCCCATCGCAAGTATGTAGACTAAGGAAACGGAAGACGTTAACATGTCAACTGTACTTTATCTGGGATAATTTATTCAGATGCATCCATGGATCGCAACCGCCAGGCTGAAAGCGACAAAGTCCTGGTTTCATTTTCCCATCGCAAGTATGTAGACTAGGGAAACGGAAGACGTTTGCATGTCAACTGTACTTTATCTGGGATAAGTTATTCAGATGCATCCATGGAACGCAACCGCCAAAGCTGAAAGCGACAAAGTCCTGGCTCACAGCGACACTGAGTACAACCATTAAAAAGGACATAGAACGGTGAGCCGAAAAATCTAGAGGACACACAAGTCAGGCCAGTGTGTCCACGACTCACGTACTCTGGATATTTAGAACCGCAGATGCCCTGAAGTTGAGATGGATCGATTAAAGCCATCGCACAAGGTCTTCTACATAGAACCAACTTTTCAGTTGAGCAGACTGCGGAGTGCCGTTTTACACCACACAACGCAAATCGCCTCTCACCACACATATAAACATAATGATAACATAATCTACCGTTCCCGGTTGATTTATGGATCTGACAGAATATTGCAAAAGAGCTGGGAGGAGGTCTTGACAAAGTCAGTCAGCGCAGGAAGGCTAACTGCTAAAACTCAATCGTTTTGTGCTAACTCAAAAGACCCAGCTACAAATAGTGATCGATATGAACAAAGTTTGTGGTTGCAAGACGGAAGAAGAGATTTCTAAAGATGCAATCGAAGCGTCATTATTACGAATGAATACCATACTTTTGTAAAACAGGAGATACCAGTTGAGAAACGAAAAGCGGAGATGGCAATGGCGTAAGATCTTATCTTTGTCGCCTGGACAGGATAAAACTTTCGGTAAAAAATAATCGCAAAAGCACATTTTTTGCGGTAAAATGGCCACAACACCGCCATCGGAAGCAAACGGGACCGAATCCGATATGAATAAAACACGTTCACCTGTTCAGTGGTTTAATGTCTACCTTAGCATGAACCGAGCATTGTTCGGAGCAAGTGCATTGGTGTACTCCTGGGTCGTTATCTGACCAAGAATGGTGCCCCATGTTCTCCTGAGAAGATACTAAAACAGACAGAGTTGCGTATACTCACTTCGAGAGCCTATGTAAGAATCTCCGAGGACGAAACAAGCTGTGCAAACGAATCTGGTTATCCGGCAAAAAACTGTCACAACTCCCATTTCTAGGCTTCGCTTCCAACCGATTCCTTGTGTTAAGGTGCTGACATCCACAGTAAGGTGAAATATTTGAATAAAATATCCGGACAATATATCGCTATTTTCAACCCAAGTTGGTCACATTAAGTTTGTGTATTCCACAACTTGAACAGTGAACGTATGTGCAGTCACTCGTTGTCCCATTCTCGAGTTCTGCATCTCAACACGGAGATTTAATGAGTCTTTTACATCAGGAAAGCCACCTAACCATGAAAGGTCGTGACAGCGTTTGCGTTGCACCTTCTGGCTTCGCATTTCAGAATTTGTATCATAAAGGACGCATTTGGTGGAGAGAATAGTTGCAAAAGTTGGGGTTCACTTTGAGCAGATAAATGAAAAGCGAGCATAAATCGCATATCAAGCGCTGTTTCCGCATAGCGCCAATTCACTAGCTTCTGACCAAACTTAGCTAAGCAGGCATTTGATACTTTCGAAAAAGTATGCCATATGTCGCCTGTTGAATTTAAGGGAATTATTCATTTTCAGTTTTCTAAATGAAAGCTTTCATCACCCCTCTTACGTCTCAACAGTTGGGTCGATTTTTCGAGGTCATTTATATGTGCCATTCGGCTCCAGTCACTTCAATCACCAAATGTCTATACTAACCGTCGAATAGAATCCTGCTCTTCAATCAAACGGGGAAATCTGGAAGCCAATCGAGGAGCTGTGACCAGTAACCGGGTTGGTAATCGCCGCCTCCCTGGATGAGAACCTCATAAACCAGAAAACTAGCGTTCAGTGATTGTCTAACGGTTGGAAAAAAACTCTGTCCTTGTTCAGATTTCTCCGCTACTCCTCAACTTTTGGACGATAGGTTTTGTTGTCTTATTACAACTTCCAGCTAGTTACCGAGAGATCACACGCATGGTGAAATGCTTTGTGAACTACGTGCATACTCATGGCACGTTGGTGCATACAAATGGTAAGGGACCGCTGTGCACATTTTTCAGTGCAATTCAATTTCGCGAAGAATAAAAGGGTCAGTTCACTCTAAAACGTTTGGGGGCTGAGAAGATTGAACCGACTCGGAAATATTTGGGATGAGACAGAAAATGGATGAATCAATAAGATGAAAACCTACCATGCAGAAAATCGATGAAACGTTCCAGGTCAATAACTTGCGTCTTCAGCTGTTCCACCAGTTGCTCGTTAACTTTCATAGGATTCAGAAACTGTGAGAAAGAGATACGAACTTCAGACAACAGGCACAAACACCAACATAAGTAATGAGTGGCAAGGTACCAAACAAGGGCTACAAAGCAACCAAATATTCCACTTTGACTATACGTTTGATCCTTTCTAGATCTTGATCCTTTCTGAATAAGTTGGTCATGATCCACAGAAGTGGTCCTCCGTACGGTGGACAAACGAAATGACAACCGGGTACGTGAAAGCGGTTTTAACACAAATCTAATTGAGATTAATCGATTAAACGTGACCGCGCGAAACCATAAGCGGCGAAATGGAGTTAGGAGCAGACGCGAACCAACTCGATGACTCAAAACCGACAGGGGAGGAGAGAAACCTGTTCCTTCTGAGAAAATGCTTGATGCTGAGCGAAACATCTTCGCGCCGTCCGTTTGTCCAAATCAATAAAGCCCAATACCTCTCGATATAAAAAGCGGTGTCTGTTTGTAGTGTTGGCTTATGCCCCAAAGAGCTGCAGTTCTGAATACTGAGGATATTTTCTATCATGGGTTATCCAGGCTAATTCGTCAATCAAGAAGCATTGACATGGTGATCCTTGCGGGTGATAGGATTACCAAGTCAGTCATCTGAGTTCATTTGAATCACATCTGGACGGTCGATTCGGAGTCGATTCTCGTCGCACAGTCACCGGAAAGCGGCTCTTCCAATTGTGCGTTGATCTTGAACTGTTTCTGGCCAGTACGAACTTCCAGCATAAAAAATGCATCGCGCAGCCTGGCGGCCGCCAACTACAACTCAACCGTGGACCCAGTTGGACCACGTGGCCATCAGTTACCGGTGGAGAGCCACAATTCAAGACTGCCGTTCCTTCTGGGGCACACCACTTGATTCCGATCACGCCATGGTGCGCGCACGCCTGACAGTTTGTTTCCCTTCAGGTCCTCGTAAGTCAGCAAGAAGCGTGCCAACCCACCATCTACAAAGAACTATCATAGCTCAACAGTATCGATCTGAGCTGGCCCAAAAACTCTCCGCAGTAAAAAAAGTACTGCACTGGTATCGAGCAGTTGGATGAAGCATGGTAAAATGCGAAAGGAGCTATGCTAGTGGCGTTCAATCCGACTTCTTCGATTCAACCACAAGACCACTGGATATCGTCCAGATTGCTAGTCCTGACTGATACCAGGAAATGCATACCAAAGGTAACGAGTACGACGCAAGCAACCCCCCTAAAACGCCAAATACTGAAGAGGCTAAGGAAAGACCGAGAGCTCTGATGGACATTGAAAATTTGGAAGGTGGAGAAGGCCCTATATCAGTCGACGCGATAAATGAAAAAGATGACCCATTAACACATTCACAAAAAATCCTTTGTAAAGATGGGCCAAACACTTCGAAAAACAGCTTAGCTGGCCTTCTGCCACACAGCTCCTGAAGATACTGAATACGGGCGGATGGAATGTAAACCTTAGTTGCCCATCGGAAGAAGAAATAAAGTACGAAATGTCGGTACGGAAACGTGAGAAGAACCCAGGATCAGACGGTCTGTGGCCAGTCCTCCTCAAAGAAGATGGAGAATCTCTGGCAAGCCATCTCACAAGGCTTACTGGTGCGATATCAAACCAAGAGAAAGTAGCTGAAGGATGGATCATGTCAAAATCTATTCCTATCTTCAAAAAGAGTGCACAGACACTGTGTGAAAACCACCGTGGCATCAGCCTGGTAGCTGTAGAATCTGAGGTTCTCTCCGGTCTTATCGCTCGAAGGCTGGTGGAACACAGAGATAGACGAATCCGTGAAAACCAAGCGACGTTCCGTTCTGTAAGAGGACGAATCGATCTGGACTGAAAGTACATGTTAAATGATGGAAACACATGAGGAATTTTCTCCCGAAAAGGCATACATTTCCCTTCCTCAAAGGTGAAAGTAACAGCGTACCGATTGCCGGTAATCCTAAGATTCTCTCACATTCATCGCGTACAACGTGATTGACAAAAGTGTACAGAACCAAAGGGATTAGATGGCCCTGTCAAACACCACTGTTGCAGATAAAACGATCGGAGAATTTCCTTCATTGGGTATCTCCTGGACGTCCACTACTTTCACTCCACTCCGAATCACCACCGAACTCCACTGTATTGTGGACTCACTAAAACCAAAGTTGCTACAATAGTTTTCAGTGATAATCAATACAGAATTTCTTCGTAATTCTGGAGGCTGATAGGAGGATTAATAATAAGTATTGTTGCTTGACGGCGTTAAAACTGGTGGCAGAAATCATGCGAGTTAGTCTCCAAAGGTATATATGCGTACAGTTTTCGTGCTGCGTCTGCCAAATACGATCCAAAGTCACATACGACCGTACCAAAAACACAAAAGCAAACGAAGACGCAAGCCTTACCTGCTGAATCGCTGAGTTGACGATAGTTTTGAGCTCCTCGTTTGATAATTCTCCCAAGTTTTCAATGTCCAGTTCTAGTTTCCTTGATAATTCTTCCAGCACAAGCCGTTGCTTTTCTAGTACGGCTTGTGTCGGAGGTTGTTTTTGCTCACCCGTCTACGGAAGGCGGAAGCCATAAACAGTGATTACGAACTACAGAAATGGGGAGATCTACTGAAACAGACATACCACAAGGACTGCCTACGCGGGGCTACGATACACATACCCCCAACGTAAAATAAAGGTGTTGGGGGCGGGATGGCTCAGTGGTTAGAGAGCGAGGTTACTGACCGGAAAGTCCGTAGTTCGAAACCGACCTGTCTATCGACTTCTTCTGTCAAGGCTTGAGCAACCTGGCAGTATGCCGGTCCTCGTACTTCCTTTGGGTGGCATGGCAGCTAGGGACCGAAAAGGTGTACAGCTGAACGACGAAATGGAAGTTCTGGTACTGTCTGGAACTGCCCATCGGGTTGTCTCAAGAGAGTGTGCCCTAAGATAATTTCAGCAATGCTTGGTCGAGTAAGTGCTGTATACGGAAGAGGCCAACCGAACAGCAGCACAAACTGAAGTAAAAAAGCGACCACAAGAGAGCGGATGCCGAAAGAGCCTAACTAGGCGCAACTAAGGTGGGTGCTGACTGGGGATTGTGCACACGAATGCGCAAAAGCCTACGTAAGGCAAACAAACACGGGGCTGTACACCAGAATTGGTAAGCAAACAAACTACCAAGAAAAAAGTGAATATCAGGCAACAACTTAAGACTGGGTAAGGAGAGGACATATGCTCGACGCAGAATAAATCAAGAAAATGTTGAAATTTTGAGACGAGGACTAATATTCACACCGCAACGGCTGATGGTCGGGGAGGCACATTTTGCCAAGCCTCCCAGTGTGAATAGAATAGGAAGCGAATAACCACAGAGTGAGTGGAGAGCGTTTCGGACCGGCCGAGTTGACCTAAGGCTATCAATGAGGTGATCTGAGTGTGAAGTACAAAACTCAGGTGAATTGAAATCCACTTAATCTCCCCAATCTCCAACCGAACTGTCCTGATACTAAGCGACCCACACAAATCAAAAAATCTGTGAAGGGCGTCCAAGAAAAATGCTCAGATATAGTGTCCTGAATCACAAGAGAAAGGTCGCAAACTCGATTTGAAATGATGATAATTTCATCCTAAGCTGTTCGTGTTAACCAGCCTTACTAACCAAGAACTTTTGACTAATACTCAAAACTGATGGAGCCTGCTGTTTGAAGGAGATCTCACCGATTGGTTCTGTCTGCCTCAAAATCGGTCAGTAGGTCTGACGTATCAGGTGTGACCTAACAATATATCCCCTGATTGCTTACTAAACCTTTCTAAAACGATATATTTACAACCAGTTCCAAATATTTTCCAGGAATTAAATGTACTTTCATACGTCATATCTAGGGGTAGTTTAGATAATTGGTCCGTTTCTAAGACCACAATAAAATGGAAAAGCCATCGACCTGCGTGAGCCATATACGTTAGACACCGCAGCAGACAAAAGCTTAGTCCCCCAAGCATGGCAGCTGAATCGGAAGACTTTTGTTTCTCCTGTAGAGCAAGACAGACCCATCATTAGCCAAAAATATTTCACTGGCAAAGAGGACAGTGAACCTATGATCGGTCCTAAGCTGTGAGTTGCTATAATGCTTCGCGCAATACAGTAACCGATTGACGTAACAGTATGCAAGTTGCAAAATTTGTCGTCCGGCTTGAATAAAGAAATCAGAAATTTCAATGACGTATTCAAAATAATGATGTGCGCATGACGGCATCCCTAAATTGAGGAATATCCAACAAGGATCCCGTTATGATGTTTGGTTCTAAGTATGCCTGGACAAGTAGTATGTGAAACTTCATGGACTACATCCTAGGAGGGTTTCCACACACTCACTTCGACGGATGTGATATACGGCAAACAGAAACAAGATCTAATTTACTGTCGTTCTTCAGAACAACAACAACCAACCCATACCCGAGTATCGCGCGTTTTCCGACGGTAGGGATAAAGCAACATGTTTACAAGAAGATTGGATGGGAGATAAGGTAAATGGAGCTGGAACGAGTGCACAAATTTCTTATGACTGCAAAGTTTGGATCTGTTCATTCTAAAGACAACAGTTTGAGTTACAGCTAGTGGGCGACGTCCGAGGATCTCAGATCGTGTCACGCACAATAAATGAACAGCCGCAAAACTTGTCGCTGCATAAACTATACGTTGAATAATCAGGTTCGAATGAACGGCCCACAAAAGAATTCGAATCCCCAGTCTGATCAAGTTCATGCGCAACAAAAGCAGCTACTGATGGCGGTGTTTTGAGCCATTGTAAGCTAACAACCATTTAAAATGGCCGGAGATAAACTCACACAGTAAAAGGTTGTCATTTTCTTCTGTCCCCAAATACGATTAGGCGCTCGAAAATGGCTGGAATAATGGTGTTCACGGCCATCAGAGGAGTACTGAGAGATGTCAAAATGCCTACTGACTACTCAAGATAGTAAGCACAGAAGGAATATAACTTATATGAACCCATACCCTCAGTTTATCCATTAACAAAGGACATGCTCCGTTAGACTGTTCTCTGAAAAGCAAAACACATCACGCAATTTATTTTCAGTCAACAACCAAGCTGCACTAAAAATAATCGGGTGCCGCACACGTAGACGGGGAAGGATAAATGTCTTTTGTAGTCAGAAAATGAGGTGCGTTTCTGACCAAGCGAAATAGCGCGTCACATACAGAGAAACAAGCAAACCAATGAGAAAACGCGGGGGCTCACGGAGAATGCGTGGGCGTTCGTCAGGCTACGTTCAACTAAAATTAGTTATCTGACTAGATCATAGAAAAAATTAATTAAGCGAACTCACCTCATAAGCAAAACGTTCCAATTCGTCTAGCTGAGATTTTAATTCTTCGATCAATTTCTGAGGCTTTGGATGAAAGCCAGTTGGAACGTCACCAGAACCGTTTGACTTGAACACAAAAAAGCAAGACACTACGGGATAAGTGTGATACAAAATGAACCTAACGGTATATCTAAGAACATTTATTAAATAGAAGAGGAATAAGAGAAGACGAAGAGGTCAAAACACAATAAGATGTTAACGCTAAAAACTTTCAAATGATCTCTAAGCATACGGAAAATACCACACTATATCCTAGAACCAGGGTTCAAAATCCTGGAGGATAACCCGATGTGTGAGTGGAGAACAGAAGGGAAGAGACTTTGAGCTACTCCGGCTTAGTACGAAGAACAATGATAGCGGTAGGATGCAATTTGAAGTAACCAGAATTGTCCATTCACCAGTGTTTGCAGTTCGGGGGAAAAGTGTCGAGCAAACTTCTGTGGCCCGGAAATTCCTGGTATGACGAACGCTGTGTCACTAGCCGATTGTTTACTTCACACACAAATTCAGTTATCTCCGAACCCAAGTTTGTCCTATGAGCTGGTAGCATCCTTAGACAACGAAACAGAAGCATTGAGTGGAGAACCATCAAATGTCATAGAACCTCAATTCAAGGCCTCTTTTCTTAAAGCGACGAACAGGTCATGCATGCCAAGTGAAAGGGTTATGGTAGGAATGCTAGAATGTGAATGGAGTGCTTTGGTTGATCACTGAAATATTAGAAAAGAAAGTTCCATCTTGACGTCATCCTTCCTCTTGTATGTTAGAAGAAGTTAATACTCGAGCCAGTCTTTGACTCGGAGCCTTCTGGCAGCCACAGTATAATGTAGGTGGCGGTAGGAACTGTGCACTGGTTCGTTCCCCTTTGGGGTGGTTTAAGTAACAATAGTGAAGTAGCATCTCAGCTGTTTAACCCGACCACAAAAACGTTCGAATTAAGCGGATATTTTAAACCTCATCCGGTCTGGACTCACTTCCTACATTACTGTTTGAAATTCGGTTGTATTGCTACATTCGGTATGACGTCCGGCTGCATTCTGTTGCTATAAATTTTAAGATACAAAGGATAGCAGTTTGCCACAAAAAATGTAGCACCTGAAACCGCCGTACCCTTTAAACATGGTTCGTAGCTATAAAAATGAACTGAACTGAACTGATACAACATTGATTCTCCGGAGTTAGAACAGAACAAAGCGAAGATCAATCCATATCAGTGGACTGCACATTCGGTCGTTCGATACGGTTCGACAAAATATTCAGTCACTCACGGTGGGTTGCTATCGTACACCCACAACCCTCCAATCGGCTTCGAAGTCAGGAAGAAGCCTTACTGACGGGACTACAGTGAACATATTAGTCACTAGCACGATCACGAATTAATCGAACCGAAAATGTAGGCCTCGAAAAGATGGATGCTTCGAACGTGTCACTATCCGGCGGTAATCCGACAACTCCGAAGCTCTTCCTTTGATTGTAAAGGGGATCTATCCATCGTGGATGTCGCAATAGAAAGCTGGCGAGTCGTTTCATAGTAATCATAGGGATCTGACAGGAACGGTTAAAAATGGCCACAAGTGATTGGTGGTCATTGTCACTTAGTAAGGGTAGCGGTAAGTGTAACTGTAACAAATAATGACTTACACTGCTAAGGAAACGCCAAGTCAAACTGACCATTAGCTTAAAATCTTCATAGCTAGATCTTCATGCTGCTGGAAATGTTACCTGATATTCAAGTTGAGCTTGTTCGCAAAGCCTGTTTCTGGACTCGTCAGACGACTGAGTTCACTACTACATAAACACATGCCTCGGGAAATATCACGTGCTCTTGACCGCAAGGTTCATGGTTCCAGCACAAATTGGGTGTCCCGACCGATCCCATCTGGGTCTAGGCAATCTGGCAGTATTCTAGCCCTCACCGCCCTCACGTTCTATACAGGATCGCATGATAACTATGGACCGAATGGGCGAATAGTTGATCGGACACACTCCGCAAACGAATTTAGGTTCAAGTAGAACATAAGATTGACGAAAACTCGAGGACTATCATCATCGCCAGCTATAAAAACCGCGTACTTGTGGTTGAAGGTGCGCTATCAAAGAGTCCAGCAACCCAACGAAAATATACTGCAACACCTCGAACATTGTGCCAACGAAGTCATGAGAAAGGATTTGTGCAGCACAATCAAACACTGCGTTGCATAAAACGACAGGTTGGTCAGCACCCCGATACAATGCCACTTCGTTCTGCTGAATCCGGTTCAGGGAAAATTCCAGATTCGACAGAAGTCCTATATCCCACAGCGTACAGACAGTTGCAAGAAAAGAATTTTGTTCCATTTTGTTGGGATTTTTCTCTACATGGAACATCAACAAATACCGTTGTTAATTACCAGGGCAACACGGTATATAAGACGACTACTCAAAGAGAGAAATGCTACCGAGCACAGCCCAAAAGCGTCATGCCAGATGACGCCTAATGTTTCCTGCGGTATTGTTCATGTAATGCTTAAAACCGAGTTAAGGCAAAATGGGTCACATGTAAGGAGAGCAGATACGAAAAGCAACCTCGATCGACATTTGCCTGGTTAGCTTTAGATTACCTCGTCCGTTGTGACGTGATGTTTATCTGCTCATTCACAGTTCTGCCCTACGAAAGTACATCGCGCACCAAGCAACGGTTCTAACCACTACACTGTTAAATAACAATAAGCCGGGCACTGGATGTGGTGGGTTCACTAACTGACTGATATCGAATTCGGATTTCCCAAGTCATGATCATCCACGGTTAAGCTTGTTTCGTTTTTACAGCGCTGAACCATCTACTAGAGTACGGTGGTTCCACTTGTAACAAGCTCAGTCAACGAGGATTGGGAGAACAGGGGAATAACAGCCACATATTAGAGTCAACTGCTTAATCAGTTCATTGACGCAAAATTGTATTTGTCTGATATGACTACGCAATGAAGTCGATAGTTTTGGTTCCAAACAGTCATTTGCCACGGAACTGAGCCTATATCTGTCAAGACCCCTAGTAAATGATGTGTCCATCCTGGAGTCCCCATCCAGGGATATGGTTTTTGCCAAAACAATGACATGATCATCCACGGTTAAGCTTGTTTCGTTTTTACAGCGCTGAACCATCTACTAGAGTACGGTGGTTCCACTTGTAACAAGCTCAGTCAACGAGGATTGGGAGAACAGGGGAATAACAGCCACATATTAGAGTCAACTGCTTAATCAGTTCATTGACGCAAAATTGTATTTGTCTGATATGACTACGCAATGAAGTCGATAGTTTTGGTTCCAAACAGTCATTTGCCACGGAACTGAGCCTATATCTGTCAAGACCCCTAGTAAATGATGTGTCCATCCTGGAGTCCCCATCCAGGGATATGGTTTTTGCCAAAACAATGAGTTTTGTGCTTCTTTACCGTGGACAGGACAGAGTCGGACGAAGAAATTCCGCGAGGTAAACGGTTCTGTGATATACGAAGCACATGACCCATCCCCATAATCAACGGCATGTGATCAGCTGATACATCGTATGTCAGTTAATTCTTCTGAAGGCCACCAAATCACAGCGCCGTTTCGGAGACTTCAGAGGTTAAGCATGAAGGGATTTCAAATGCCTTACACGCAGTGATTAGGCCCCTGTCTCTGAGTCAGTGTATACGCCACCTTGGAGAGGTAAACTGAAGTCATGTCATGTGGTAACTAACTGCTCTAGAGCCTTAGCGCCGAAATAGACTCGACAACAGGGAACACAACAATTTATTGCGAACAGGCGAGTGTAGGCGAGATACAATTCGTCAGCGCCATTGATGTTGAGGGTTGAGAAATGACGTCCAGGCCTTCAAATTTGGGGTGAAATTTCTTCTTTCTCTACCCCATCGGAGCTATAAGATAGAGGAATCCATTTGAAAACAGAGTTTCTTGGTCATCCAGGTTGCCGGTTGGAACATGTGGTCGTTCGCCGCTTGCAAAGTCATGCCGCGGGAAGTATAGTCGTCGGACATGCCTCTAAGTAATCAAGAAACGAAACTGGAAGTTGTGGAATGCTATACTTATCTCGGAATTTGCACTAGACGAGGTCAATGCACCAAACTCGAAGGCCAGAATTGCGTTTGCCAATTTAAGCCGCATGTAGAATCTAATACCCAAGAAGGGGCGTCCGTGTGACAAGGCACGTAAAGCTTTCATAATAAATAAGGTCGGCCAGAAGACACTCATTATGTTTACGATCGACGGGGGTCAAAAAACGTCGACCAGTCGTTGGAAGGGATGACACTAGTCAAGAAGCCAATGCGAAAAAATGGCACAGCTGTAACACCCAATGCGAAGTGAGGATATGACTGAGGGATACTTTGCTATGACGAAACCTAACCTGATTCCCACTGATATGACTGGAGGTTTTGGTGAGCCTTTGACTCAAGGCAGAGAGTAGCAGGGGGTTCCCAGAAGGGCGTCACCCGAAGCCGATGACTTGTATGACATGTTTTGACGCGAAGAAATGATGTAGGTCGATGAACATATACCTCGACGCTGATGTGCACAGAAAATATTTCGAGAAACAATGGACAGTCGGTGGAATTTAGTTTTCCGAGCACAAGGGATATTTTGCTGGTAGTCACACAAAAAAGTGGTGCGTTGGGAGCGTGTGGTCTATAAGGATGACCTTTTTCAACCAGTCCTTTCTCGATGAAGCACAAGATCGCCGCTTTCATATACAATAAGAGCCCTAGGATGGACCAGTAAAATGGGGGGCCATTACCCATAGAAGTGTCCACAGCAAGCATCCCTCGCCAAGTTTTTACAGGATTCCCGATTACTAGAGAGGCCACTTCATTTCCTTAGAGTTTATGGTTTTGTTCCCCAAGAAGGGACGTCGACTCCAAATTCATCATTATTATAACCAAAATCTTAATTTTACTACCCGAGCATGAGCTGAACTTACATTGCGAAGAACAACGGTCATACTGAGTTTCTCCCTCCAAATGGTACTATCCCGGCCCTTCGATTCGAACATCAGTAATGTGTTAGAGTTGGTTTTTTTTTAGGGCCTCAACTACTGTCTGATGGTTTTGACGACTGAGGTATTGCATGACAGTGGAAAGAGAATCAACTTCGACCGCAATACAATAGAGGTAAATGCTGACTTTTAATTTCCAAATAACCGTGAAGAAAGGACGCCGTAACGAAGTGGAAAGAAAAGGATAAGGGAGGGAACCAGTGTGAGAAAGCCCAAATGCCCAAAGGAAGACGAGTGAGAACGATATGCCATAGCTTCAAAACAAACACACACACGGCATCAGCGAGAATGGTCCAGTGTCCTCTGCTGACCTTACCCAATACAATCCGGGAAAGCAAGGGCAGATGAACGTCAGGTTAGAAGTCCGGTCAATTAACAGCATGCTCACCGCTTGGGTAGGTTACGTGCTATGTCCAGTAGGGCTTGCAGTCACATGTGGAAAAAAACACATGGGCTCTAATCATGATTGCACAGCACTTTGTTTGACTGGGGTTTAACGTTTTCCTGCCAGAATCAGTTCCTCACGAACTTTCCAACCGGGAAAAAACATCGACTCCCTCCGTAAATGACTGTTAGAACCTTATCTGCTTATCCGTCGATTCTGACTCTGCCAATTACTGGGTTACGCACCACTTTGTCGTGGATACGGCACAGTCTACCAAATTCCGATGTTCTGCGAATATTTGAACACAGAACAATAACCAGCAATAAGCAGAAGTCGCAGTAGACTTCAAGTGCCTCTCTCCTTTCCTTGCACTGCATAAGTGTATTCAAGAAGCGAAGCACTGAGGAAGAGGGAGCGTTTGTAATGCAAGACTTATGCAAATAAAACCTAGCACGGAAGCCGATTCCCGAGTATTTTTAGGGTGGTCCTACAAAATATTGTGGGCCTTGTCGTAAGCAGATATCAATCTCGGAGTTAAAAATTCCTTGTATTTAGATGAAATTAGGCCACTTAGCTATACGGAAATCCGTTTATTGTTCTCCGTCTGGGTTTTCTTCCGCTCTAGCCTTTCCTGAATGGATGGTCCCGCCTGGTGCAACCCGAAGGTACACTAATTTGCCAGAGCCCGGCCCCTCCTCAAAGTATTAGCTTTTTGTCAAATTACATAAAGCCATGTGAGTTCCGTGCGGACAAAAGTAGGAGGGAACTGCAATCATCCACGAAGTGGAAAGAAAAGGATAAGGGAGGGAACCAGTGTGAGAAAGCCCAAATGCCCAAAGGAAGACGAGTGAGAACGATATGCCATAGCTTCAAAACAAACACACACACGGCATCAGCGAGAATGGTCCAGTGTCCTCTGCTGACCTTACCCAATACAATCCGGGAAAGCAAGGGCAGATGAACGTCAGGTTAGAAGTCCGGTCAATTAACAGCATGCTCACCGCTTGGGTAGGTTACGTGCTATGTCCAGTAGGGCTTGCAGTCACATGTGGAAAAAAACACATGGGCTCTAATCATGATTGCACAGCACTTTGTTTGACTGGGGTTTAACGTTTTCCTGCCAGAATCAGTTCCTCACGAACTTTCCAACCGGGAAAAAACATCGACTCCCTCCGTAAATGACTGTTAGAACCTTATCTGCTTATCCGTCGATTCTGACTCTGCCAATTACTGGGTTACGCACCACTTTGTCGTGGATACGGCACAGTCTACCAAATTCCGATGTTCTGCGAATATTTGAACACAGAACAATAGCCAGCAATAAGCAGAAGTCGCAGTAGACTTCAAGTGCCTCTCTCCTTTCCTTGCACTGCATAAGTGTATTCAAGAAGCGAAGCACTGAGGAAGAGGGAGCGTTTGTAATGCAAGACTTATGCAAATAAAACCTAGCACGGAAGCCGATTCCCGAGTATTTTTAGGGTGGTCCTACAAAATATTGTGGGCCTTATCGTAAGCAGATATCAATCTCGGAGTTAAAAATTCCTTGTATTTAGATGAAATTAGGCCACTTAGCTATACGGAAATCCGTTTATTGTTCTCCGTCTGGGTTTTCTTCCGCTCTAGCCTTTCCTGAATGGATGGTCCCGCCTGGTGCAACCCGAAGGTACACTAATTTGCCAGAGCCCGGCCCCTCCTCAAAGTATTAGCTTTTTGTCAAATTACATAAAGCCATGTGAGTTCCGTGCGGACAAAAGTAGGAGGGAACTGCAATCATCCACCGTAAAAAAAAGGAAGCACAAAATAAAAAGTTTCGTCGCATCGCCTTTCCCTGACAGGAAGCACTCACAATACTTGAAGGAAGCGCGAAAAGCTGCAAATCGGGAATACCACGAGAGGCAAATTGTTCCAGTGACCTGAGCATTTCTTCCCTGTTCTCTTCCTTTGCGCTTAAGACCTGTCCCAAGCGGAATTGAACCTGAACACAAGGAAGTAAAAAACATGGGAGCCAAATTATAATCTGCACTCGCAAAACGCTGACGGAATCGCACAGAGGCTTTGAAACTTAAAAAACGTTTTGGGTGAAAAACGAAGTGGCCAAAGTTTGTTTTTGGCCCCCATCCAGGAAGACGATATGACCAGCGCAGCCAAGATTGTTCGTAATGGCTTTTATACTTCGCTGCCAAGTCATTGTTTGACCCCGAGACGGGCCACATCAATGCTTACGGACATTGTCATACATGGCCCAGTCGTACCCTCAATGGCGCTTATGCACACAAGCTATTGCCTTTAATGCAAAGCTCCCTTCCCAGTCCCCCAATTTAACAGTCCATTGACAGTGCTGTATTCACCTACTAATTTATCAGCTCCCGCCTATAATGCGGAGCTACTTAATCCATCTCCGCGAATCATCGGTGAACGAAACTGTGGCAGCTACAACCACTGTACGACAAGTATGAGGTTATTACAGCTGACAATGATGATGACGATTTTTGGCCTTCGATCGCTTTTTTATGCAAACGACCAGAAGAAAACAGCAGTAAAAAAGCGGGCAACACAGAATGTAGGAATGAGGCAAAGGACCCAAGATATGCTCTCAGGTTTGATAACTTAGGAAAACTGCTAGGGGGTAGCTTCAAACTAACGAACCCGTTTTGCTGTAAACTGAAACATTGTTTCCTCCGGTTCAGCCCTTTATTCACATCATATTGGACTGTTCGCTCGTTTATATTCTGGTTCATTTGAGTCGATACCACGGGAAATTAGTTGCTTCCAGTATAAGTTCCTCAATTGTCTCCTCGATTCTGGTGTAGATGACAAGTCTCACAGATAAATCAGAACAGACCATAACAAAAACCGATGCTTAGGACTAGACGGATAAGAGTAAAAATAGCAGGCGTTCAAAGGAAGGAATGGGGGATTACAGAAAACTTCCAGTGTGTGTTCCCTACCAGGATTTGCGGTGTGGAGATTAGAACTCCTCAAGACCCCCTACATTACGCTGATGGCACTGGGTCGCAAAAGCGAAACTGAGTGGAAACTGGTAGACGTCGGTTTTCGTACATCTAATAGTGTGTAGTTGCTAATACAGTAGATTCATGGTGGTTAGTGAGTATCAGGCCGGGAGTTTTTAAAAAAGGTATTTGGATGAGGGGACTCACATCTGAGCATATGCGAAATGTCCTAATGCAATTAGGAAAGGAACACCTGGTGAAAGACAGCTTTTTGAAGTCCCAAAAGTACCAGTTCTGGAGTCCAGCAGAGCTGCATGTAAATAGGTAAGTTATGCTCTTTGATAAAAATTAGATGATTACAGGCGACACAAAATCATGCTTCGAACAAGAACAGATAGAAATTGTCGACAAATATTTTTTAAACGAACAAAGCAACCAAGGTTCGCCATGGCAGGAGAAGTGCAACTTACCTGGGCAAAGTGTGAAGTCAACGCAATTAAAGCATGATTCATCTGTTCATTCTCTGCAACTAACTTGGACAATTCTGGTGCTGGCCAGGTGGTTAATTCTGAATTCATATTGTGGTGAGCTGAAGAACAGGAAGGCTCAGGACTTGAAGTGGCACCCAGAGGAGCCCAACGCTCCTTTGGACGTCCATCTTCGTCAATTATAGAGAACAGTTCGTCTGAACCCCCTGATCCTGGAGAACCATTGGTAGATCCTTCACTGGCCGGCATTGAAAATATTCGTTACACAGAGCAGTTGTCAGTCGTAAAGAGCTGAAACAAATGCCCGGAAACGTTTGGCACTCGGTGAAACAGAAATTATGGGGTGCACTAATAGGGCATAATTTAAATACTCTTTTGGGTGAGACAAAACACGGCAACCAGGCTCTCTTGGCCAACAACAGAGGGACGTTAGAAAACCGTTCCGTGGCGACGAAACGTTTTACTGAAATTCATTCAACAAGGCTATTTTACCAGTCCTGCGCGGGTGATTGCACAGATTATTTTGAACGGCTGTCCTTGAAGGTCTTCTGAGTCGTCCCTAAAAAACATACCACGAGTGAAGACATTCGTTGTAGCACAAATCAGCAATGATAGAGTAACGTGGAATGTTTCACAAAAGACCTTGTATTGCCAGTATGAAGCAGGACAGACTCTACGGAGACGCTATGTGCGCCCTTTTACGAGGCCAGCGGCCCTTCGGCGGTACAGATACTGTAAGTTCGCAAACAACCGCGAGCCTTTGGTGTTCTGCCCTGCATCCCTTCAGTGATGCTACTGACGTTAAAAACAGATTCCAACAGAATAAAACGAACAAAACCTGATTACCGGTCGTGGAGCCATAAATGTCAGTGGCGGCGTGCCCCGTATCACCTTTACAGGTACCTGACTGAAGTGTCTGTAGGTGGGATCTACCCAAGCATGACTGTCAAGTGTGACGGTTCAGAACATAAAAGATAATAATGAAGAAAGACGGCATCAGCAGTCGCGGGTTTTCGCTTATCAGCCCTGTTATAGGCGACCCAACTTATTTCACGATGCGAGGATCGATATGGTAAGAAGGTATCGTTACCAGTAAAGTTCGCTGTTGTATGTGGGCTGTAACTACTGCCATGGCCATGATCAACGTCGGGATTATGTTCGAAATTGGCTTCTCAGACAGATTCTCTGCGGACCTCGTTTCCAAGCCCTGGAATCAAAGCTAGTATGGAATTTCTGATTTTACTAACCTCAGGTGGCTCAACTCCTCCTCGCCCCCAAATAGCAGATAGTGTTGAAATGCTTGTCCATCAACTCCCTCTTTTCAACTAGAATTCTGGTGTTCAATCGTCGGCTCGTCATGAATGACTGTCCATTCAATCCCAGGGTACCAGGCGGCGCCCTAGTTTCTGACATTCAATCAACTCAATCTGTCACCCATAAACCGTGCACCATAGGCACACTGGTTCCAGCTGCTACGGTTTCGATCACCGGAAAACTGACCGTCCATTATTTTGCTAATAGAGAACTGTCTCATACCAGCCGTTTTTGATGCTCATATTTTGACAGACGGTTACCCTATTTTCCAGGCAGATTCGAAAGGTGGAAGGGTAGGTAGAGCTGCCTCAAACCTGAAAACCAACCTGCCCACCTCAGACACCCTTTCTGAAATCACTCGTGTATCGTTTGGCAATGCAATGTGAATCAAATTCCACTGCGCGAGATCGATTCGCTGGAAAACAAGTCGTCCTACGGACACACTCTTGAACGACTCTTCTCCAGCTACCAATTTACAGTCTTTCGATGGTAGGACTTTGACCCTCTGAAAGTCTCATGGATGGAATTCTAGTACCTCAAGTCCAGTGGACTAAAGCAGTGTAGTAACCAAATTCAGCATATCGACGCGCGCATCAGATACCGCACAGGTCAATTATCACCCCTAGTGGGTCTGTTTATCATCAGTGAGACACTGTTGATCGAGTGATAATCACTTTTCCACTGTGACATTATGACTGTGCTTTTGACTTCACTTGCTACTGGACCGAGAACAGTGAAATGCAAACATGGATTCAAAGTCTCCGCCACCCAGATTACTTGGGAATGTGTTTTCTCTGATCAGTTTTATCGGACGAGAAATACAGGACCGTTGCCCCGAAAATTCACGAAGCTTATGCAATGTTCGATCTAAAGAAACTGGAACGAAGTCAAACGAACCAGAAGCTATCTAGGAGGACCGGATGTCCAAACTATTCTGCAAAAAATAACAGAGAATCAGATGAGCCGCCATTTCGTAAGATGCGAAACCGCTACAAAGCAAAGATCCACCAGCTTAACCCACGAAAATAGGCAACGACACTAAGTCTTGTCCGGAAAAACACAAGCCAATTGCCGTCTCCTTGAGGGACAGGAACGGAGGAGCTACGAGCGGCGCAACGCTGGCACCTGAAGCCCACAGAGAACACTATACACGCTTAGATTGTGCTCCAATGACCGCACTACATCCGATCTTGGGAAGGCAGAACTACGTGAACACATCATCATCATCACGGATTCGCTGACACCAACCCACACGAGCTATGGTTCTGAGACAACGATTGTCGAACACCTGAAGACGTCTCAGGTCCGCTGCTCGAATAGGCCAAGTCTCACGTGAACACTACAAAGAGTAACTGTCGTTAACACTTGCAGACAGGCCGCTTCAGCAGGCTAGAGCCACAGAACGCATATCCAGGGGTCCTGAGCGAAACATCACTCAGCTCGGCAAGACAATCCGCTTCACGAAGGCAAAGTACCGTCTGCTGAAATAAAGCGATTTTTCACACCAATCTGCAAATCTGGTGGCCAAGTACTGCCTGACAGCTGCAGGCCTCTTAGCCTCACTAGCATACCGTTCACTCCGAAGTGGGCAATTCTAAATCACCTCATTGCCAACACCTTGATGCTCCTCGGCACCACAAATCAACTCAAAATCGTTCTTGTGTGAGGAACATCCTAGTACTCAAGGGCAGCTTAACACAAACCACGGACGAAGGGCTCATATTGGAAGCCATATTTTTCGATTTCTCAAAAAACATCTGATCGCATTCCACGCGTTCTACTAAGCCACGTTGGCTTAAATTTTTCCTTCCAAATATTAGCTTCGAATGAAAGTCGGGTCAGCCTAATCTTTTGCACCGACCTCCTTTAGGCTCCGCGCTTTCAAGTCTACGCCCACTTTTTTTGCAGATGGCATGAAGTATTGGACTTCCAATGCCAGCGCACTTCAAGTGGATGCCGATACCGCAAACCAGTGGTCATTGGGCTGGCACCTTCCTCTTAAAGACAAAAAGTTTATGTATGTCATCCGTATAAAACTGGGCAAACGCTTTTTTGGTGCATGATGAAAATGGAGCTGTCACTACGAAGCTATATATTGAGGTTTAGACAACTGACTATCGTCAGGCATGTCATTCTGATCCATTTAGTATGCACGCTATGGAAACACCAGGGTGTAGTGAATCCCCGAAAATAGGGTTTCACGAAAATGGAAAACATAAATAAAGCTCATGGTCCAAAGCCCAGCAAGCAATGTTGTGCACTGCCAATGTTTACACGTAAACCAACCAAAAGGGTAAACGATGTATGCTATACTCAAATACGAAACTCGGCTCGAAAGGTCGTCGAAGTCCTTCCGTGGTTCTGAGAATTTTCAAAGTATTGTCTCCATTACTTCCACATACTCCAAACAGCTTACATCATACAGCCTTTTTAGTGTGCCAACCAGGTTGCCTAAGTCTAGAAACGAGTGGTCGAGATACAGGAGCATAGTCCGAACAAAGATTTGCCTGTCAGTATATTAATTTACTGGTTGATGCGCCGGTTGGTGCCTAAACGTCGCGAACCCACTAATACAAGTCAGAGACGTGGTGAGGCCTTTAAAACTTAGACGCGCACTTTTATTAGTTAAGGATTTTCTTATTCTTGGTAGCTGATACGTGGAACAACCTCCCTCTGACTGTTATCCAAGCTGCCCCTTGGAACCAGGTTAAATCAACTTTGGGCGCCGGCAAGCTTACTGTCCGGCACCAGAGAACTGAAAAGCATCACGGCAACATTTCTTCGCTTCAGTCTTTCAGGTTACCGCAATCCGCTAAGCACTCGAAGCAAACCTAACCTGGAGCGATCGGAGAGTAACCCTAAGAGCGAACGATCAAGGGCAAAGCGCTCGGCCGGAATGCCAACTGGTACTGTGATTGGCTAATTGACCGACCGCTAAGAAAACACCCTTATCCACATTGAGTTCACAAACCACCTGTGTTTGGACCGTACACTAGATCACGTATCATGATACACAGACTGATACACAGGATAAACGGGATTTGAATCCATGGTGCGCGGGTCCTATTCTCTCTTTCTCGGCGTGGTCTACCGTAGCCCCTCGAGTCCCCCTGAAGATGACCAGTTCCTCATACAAAACCTGGAGCAACTCTCCTCCGAATAACACTCATCTCCGTCATCTCCTTCTGGTAGGTGAATTCAACGCCCCAAAGCCCCCCTGGATTGCACTCCAGCGCGTCGAATCAGGCGGACCTTTTGCAGCGGCGCTGCTAGAAGTCGTTCAACAGAGCGCTTGGACCCAACACGTCGCTGCACCCACCAGATACCGCGCAGGCCAACTGCCATCCCTGTTGGATTTGGTCATCACCAACGAAAGACTCTTCGTTGATCAGGTAACAATTAACGCTCCACCGGGACATAGCGACCACTCTGTGCTGATCTTTTATTTCATGTGCTATTGGGCCAGAAATCCCGAACCTCAAACGTGGTTTCGAGACTTCCGCCGTGCAGACTTCTCAGGAATGCGCATTTCTCTTGAACAAGTCACACTGGGACCAGCTCCAGTGCAAGAACTATACACGACCATTGTCCAGAAAGTTTACGAGGCCGATGCGATTTTCGTTCCAAAAAACAGCATGCACTCGGACGAGCCGCAGGATGCCAAAAAGGATTCGGCAACCTCTGGAATAAAAACACAACTCTTTTTCAAAAGGTTGACTACCGGGGATACAGAAGATGAGCTGGCGTTTGGTAAAATGCGGAAACGCTGTACATCACGAATCCGCCAATGGAATCTAAAAAACAGGCCAATATCCTGGACCTCGCTCGAAAAAACAAAGACGTCTTGAACAAATACATGGGATATCGCTGCAGAAACAAGACATTCGCGTCCTCCTGGAGGAACAGAGACGGAGAACCGACAAATGATCCAACAG